TCACTCACTCACTCACTCACACTCACACACACACACACACACACACACACACACACATTATCGCACACACACTCGCACACACTCACACACACACTCGCACATGTCTGTGAACGCTTCTGAGCTCCATTCCCTGTCAGATCAGCACATTAAACTGCTGAATTCAGATGATTTTGAATTATGATTATGATTTCTGACCTTATGTATGCATGCAGTTTGTCTCCACACACACAGAGGGCGCTGATGTCGATCTGCTGTACGACACTAGAGTTCAATGAATGAATGAATGTAGTAACGAAGAATTAAAAACCAATTACTGCCAGTGTTTTTGGAGCTCTGCCTTGTGTCCTCTGTTTTTTACAACAAAAACTATCAGAGAAAGACGTCGAGTTGACTGGAAAAGTTATGTTATGTTAGTGAAAACATGGGGAAAAATTACTCGTTCTGTCCTTCTTTTTTTTAATGAACATAGTTTGCAAAAAGTAAATTGTCCATTTCTGTAACTTTGCCTATATAAAAGAAAAATCACAAAGATCTCTTTAATATCTCAGTTGTTTCTTTAAAATAAAACTAAATGTAATCAATGCAATTAAAAATATATTATTTAATAATATAAAAAATTGAATTTCTTATCAGAAAAAAATCTCAAATTGTCCTCAAATTTGTCAAAGTCTGCGTGAACTATAGAATATGGAGAATATGAGTGATGTTCACATCTATATTCCCATTAGTTATAGATCTATTTACTCTTACTATATGATAAATGTTAACTTGTGTCTGTTTTGATTTCTAATGAATTTAAGGAAATTTTTGAGACAGTTAATACTTGTGATACTTGATCTGAGTCACGTTGATTAAACATAAGGAAAAATTAATATGTTTTTGAAAGACATCTCTTCTGTTCACCAAGGCTGCATTTATTTGGTCAAAAATACAGTAAAATAGTGAAATATTATTACAATCTAAAACAGCTGTTTTCTGTGTGAATCTCTGTTAAACTGTAATGTATTTCTGTGATCAAAGCTGTATTTTCAGCATCATTACTCCAGTCTTCAGTGTCACATGATCTTCAGAAATCATTCTAATATGCTGATCTGCTGCTCAAGAAACATTTCTAATTATCATCAATGTTGAACACAGTTGTGCTGATGAATATTTCTCACACACACACACACACACACACACACACACACACACACACACACACACAC